AGTCTGAGAAGGAGTGCAGGGCCCAGGCAAGGTCAGAGCTCAGAGTCACATTCTGCCAAGTGCAGGGCTCAGGCTAGGACTGACCATTCCTTCCTCCAGGCCAGGGGAGCTCCTGAGGTTGAAAGGAACAGCCACAGAATGGGCAGCTGAAGCAGTCTTTAATGGAGCTCTGCAGACAAACCATGCTGTGCTCTGCCTGTCAGTGGTAGGAATGTATGGGGAAGGGAATGGGGGGTGGGGAAGAGGTAAGGGAAGGGACCTTGACCTGATTTTGTGGGGCAGCAAAGCAAGGGAGAAGCTCCATGTTCAGATGCCTTTGAACAAGAATAATTCTGTTCTCACCTCAGGTTCAACACCTCCAAGGAAAAAGGAAGGGTGGGTTTGCTCAGCCACTAAGCAAAACAAATACCCTCAGGAGCCCCACTGGACTTCAAAATACAGATCAGCCACCAGATGCTGTTGCCAGGGTTGGAAGGATTTGAACGCCTAACCTGAATTTTGCCAGTGGCTCTTATTTCTAAAATGGGCTGAGCCCAGATCAGAGGAAAGAAGTTGGGGGGGGAACTCATTGGAAGTTTCAAAATAACCTAAAATGTAGGTAAAAACCTCTTTGAGCAGCTCCAAGTTAAGGCAGGCAAGGCCATGACTCTAGCCAAGCCTCTGCACAGCTCCTGCAGAGTGCTGATACACGTAAAGATATCAAACATTAACAGGACAACTCATTTAACAGCAATTAGATCTTTTTAAAGGTCGTTATCCTGGTCCAAAAGTCAAATAAAAGCTGTTTGGCACTTTGACACATTTTGCTAATGTCCCTGCCATGAAACAGGAAGGGGATGTGCTCCAGTGCCTGCTTTACTCAGGGTCACTTCTTCAAGTCAACCTGTGCCCTTGAAACCCCAACTCCTATGTTCAGGGGTAAAGGCACCCTGGGGACTACTGATTCTGTGCTGCCCATAGAGCTGGGTTAGGCATCCAAGACCAGCTGTGCCAAGACACATATCAGGTCAAAGAAACACAAGAGGCCAAGACCAGGCCCCTCAGAGGCTTGGAGCATTGCAGCATAGGAGGGCAGGCTCTGTTGCTCAGGCTGCTTTGCTCACAGCAAGACAAGAGCTGATATTGCTGTCAGGAAGCTAGTGACTTGGAGCCTCTGTCCTGCTGGTTTTCAATGGGACCTAGGCTCCCAAAACACCTAAGCTTTTCTGCAGCATCAGCCACAGGGAGCCAACAATGTTGGCTACCAGCAGGTGAAGGGGCTGGTATACATTCATAACTCACCCAGGTCTGCCAGTGCTCTATGATCCAGAGCTGTGACATCCCTCACTGTATCAATGCCAGACCTCTCCCAAGCAGAGACCAGTTATCTTACCACAATGAGTTCTGATAATGCAAGGGCAAGGATGAACTTCTGAAGCCCTATTCCTCCTGTCTCCCCAGTCAGAACTGGAACCCACATAAGCAAACATTAAAAGCTCATGCACTAACTCACTGAACTGTAGGCAGGCCTCCCTAATAGCAAAAGGAGCACTGTTGTAAAGAGGAGGAAACTGAGGTACAGGGAGACAACTGATCCAAAGTCACCCAGTACAGACCAGTGTCAGAGGTGGGAAAAGACACCAGGCCTTCATTAAAAGACTGTGACTGTGTGCAGATTCACAGAAATGCATGCATCTCAAAGCTAGAGAGAAGGGAGAAATGACAAAGAAGATTCTGGGTTAGTTTTTAGAGAGATAACCCTGTCCCCATTCTCAGTGGGTTGGGAGTCCAGGCAAAATAAAAGGTGAGTAGGAAGAATACCACTCACTCCATTTGACCCAGGGGTAGAACAGGGATAGATACACATCCCTTCATAAATGGAGAAGCATGTCAGGTGTTACTGTCAGAACTAGATTCATCAGATGAACAAGGAACTTTCCATCACCTGGAGTCTGCAGGACCTGACAAGGGAATGCTGTAACAAGTCATTCACACTCAGCCTTCTCTAGGTTTCTTTAAACCTACAAAAAACAATACAGCCCTGTGCCATCCCTGCCCACTGGGAGCCCAGCTGCTTATGTGTTTCACCTTCCCACTACACATGGCTGCTTTTGATTTCACCAGACCAAGTGCATGGCCCCTGTGTCACTCTCAGCCCATGGCTGCTGTAATGATATCCTGATACTGAGCAGGAGAGACTGAGGAGAGATCCTCATCAGATGTTCATGATTTCACTGAAATCAGTCAAACAACAACAATCAGCACCCACTCTGCACAGCTAGAGGGATTTACTTTGATTTGTCTTAGATGTACAAATGGCACCTTCCATACACATTTCAGACATTTAAAGAGTTTATCATCATGGTGCCAGATCTAAACCACAAAAATATAAGCGACTCCAGAATACTGGCTAAAAAGTTGCTGTGTCAGCACACATGGTGTGGGGTAGTGCTTCTTGCTGGTTTCTATTGCACAACAGGGTGGGTTAAGAACAAAAGTTTCAATCTTGACTCCTGCTTTCCACCCGGTGCTTGTAGGTTTGAAAAAAAGAAAAGCAACATATCTATGTAATAGCCCAACCTTGGACGTGCGTAGCCTGAATACTAAATGCTTTCATCACCTCCTGGACACTGCCGGAACAAGGGCTGGATCCCCAGGTGCTGTAAGTTGCTGCCAGCTGCATTAGAGAGCCCCAATTTGTACCAGCTGGTGATATGGTCCCTTTAAGCAGTGGGGCACAATATAGATACTTTCCTGAATGAGTACCCTGCCCCTTGCTGCTGGATATGAAGCCTGCCACACAATAAGAACTCACTGAGGAAGGCAACAGCAATGCCCCATTTTCCTAGGGCTGAAAATCTGTTGTCACATCTCCGCTGGGCTGATCTGTGGACCTGCTTCCTGAGGTTGCTCAGTCGCTGAATCAGCTCATGTGACAGGCAGTTCCAGCTCAGACCAGCTACAACTTTGCAGCAAAACCAAGAAAGAGCTTCTCTTTAATTTGATTCTGAAACTCCCAGCTTGCTATCCCCTCCCTACCCAGACTGAGTCAGATAGCAAATCTTTTTTCTTTCCTGGTAGCTTCAAATTCCCCTCCATCTAGTGTGGACACTCATTTATACATGGTACAGGGATGGCAATAGGTAAACAGAATAGGGACCATTTTAAAGGTGGTTACCAGGCCTCTACTAACCCAGCTGGAAATGTGCCCTTACCCCAAAACGGTCCTTCTGGCAGGAGCTGAATTCAGCCCCCCTCTATACGTAGTCAACACTGCTTCCCCCAACAGCCAGGGAGTGGTTCAGAGTAACTGGAAAGGACTTTGAGGGGAGTGGATCTAATCCAATCTCTTGCTGTTGCAGGCAACCATGCCATATGATCAGTCTTGTAAACTATCGAGAGTCACTTCAGATGTATACCGGCATGAAAAGTAGGGTTGCCATCCCTGCCAGCTCAGGAGATGGGGCGGGGGAGGGCAAGGCAGGAGAATGAACAGGTGTCTCACGCACCAGTCCCCTGGGTGTTACTAAGAGTAGCCATAACCCTGCCCCTGTCAGCAAAGGCAGCTGTAGCCATCTGGTGACCTTATGGAAAACTTCAATATACTGAGGAAGCTGTCTGAGAAGGAAAAGATGGGGCAAATCAGAATCATGACTGGCAGGGAAAACACCATGTATCTGGGTCCACAAGGCAGTTTTTCTTAAGCACCTGGGAGATAACTGCTCTTCTGGCATGGTTCAGTACCCGCTGAGGTGTTGGGGCTTTAAGGCCACTTTATGGAATTGGGAAACTCCTCCCTAGCTTGCTCCTGCAACCATATGGCTGAGGGCAAGCGAAACACGAGGGCATCCAAACCCCAAGCCTCCAGGCGTGGGCCTGTACATAGGATGCCCACCAAAAGACGTTGGAAACATCTGAAGCCCCTGGTAGGGTTGGAGGATGTTTGCCAGATGTAGGGCCACTTATGGTTCTGGACTGACTCATGGATTTGGACTTGATTTAGCTTGGAACACGAAAAATTTAAAAAAAAAAGAAAAAAAAGACGAAGCAGCAGCATGACACTTTCCAATAACAATATAGTGCCTTCCAGCCAAGGATCTCAAAGTGGAGAGGGGGCAATGTTCACTCCTTTGTCATACAAATGGAGAAACTGAGGCACAGACAGGTACAAAGATTTGTTTGAAAGCTTACAAAGAGACTAAGAAAAGACCGGGCTGTCCTAGCTCCCAGCCCTGTGCCTTTCCAAGCCAGCTTTGCCAGTGGCAGGGAAGAACAAAGATGGTAACCCATGACTGACTGCAACTGTACATTAAACTTCTTCGTGTCTTTGACTCTGTCCCAGTGAAGTTAGCAGCTAAGGCACCAGCCCAACACACAAACCAGGATGCTGCAGCTGAGGATCTACGATAATGTCCCTTCTGCTGTGGGGCTTTTCTAGGCATGAATGCAAACCCAAATGCATTCATGCCATCAGTGAAGCAAGCCTGTCATCAGTACCCCAAGGTGCTGTGAAAACCTGCCAGCCCAAGTGCCACAGCAGCATCCCAGGCAAAGCAAAAGGAATGGAAGCCCTTTCTCCTCACAGGGCTAGCAAGCGCCCAGCCTGGACCACGGGGGAGCTGTTGGCTTCCTCACCTAAGGGGGGCTGGCTGCTGCAGGGACCCTCGCCTGTCTGCACACCGGGCCCTCTGCCTGGGGAGACCTGTGAGGAGGCCACCCCGCAACAGACCCCCCTTTCTCCCCTTTGGCAGCAGCGGCTCTGCTCTGGAGCTCTCCCTAACTCGGGCCGGGCTGGGGCTGCCCAGGGTGTTTGCTCTGGAGCGTCACCAACCAGGCTGGGGCGCCGGGATCTCTGGGGGTCCCCTTGGCCTGTCCCTGCCAGATGGGATGCCAGGGGGCCTGGCTCCCTCCCAGCTCGGGGAAGGGCCTGGAAACAACCGGCTCCGGCAGCGCCGAGCACCGACCCCGCGCGGTTCCTGCAGGGCAGGGAGGAAGCGGCCTGGCGCCCCGCGCCGCCCTACCTCGGGCTTGGGCCGGTGCTGCAGCAGGTGCTCCAGGTAGAGGTCGGACAGCGCCGTGCGCATGCTGCTCACGCTGTCGCTGCGGCTCCACTTCAGGGTCATGCTGAGCTCCGGCCGCCGCCGCCGCCGCCTCGGGCCG